AGGAATAGGATTCAACGAAAGGGTGATTTCATGAGACAGATACCGTATTCTTTTCTTTGGGGGACACAAGCCCATTGATGCTGGTGAAGCAAATCTACTTGTCTAGTGTTTTTATTGTAAAGATTATGTTCCTTGTCAAAGAATATGTCTCGAGTGATGTTGGAAAACAAAGGAAGCTGTCTCTTTCTACCGAGACGTTTGTTGTTTTATACTTCTTGACTTGGATGGGAACTGTGTGTGGGATAGTAGCTGCATGTAACTCAGAAGAACTTCGGTTCCAGCAAAACCATTCATACTGCAGTGTTCAGTGTTGAATCCCAACAATAATTTCTGTTTCCACTGATGACCCCCCCCCCCATGCTGTTCCTAAGCATTCCCACTCCCTGAGGAGCAGCATTTCAGGAGGCAGGATCAAAGCCTTAGTCTTCTTGATAAAATCAACTGTCTTGTACTTGATTTCCATTTTCTTTCTTTTCCCCTCTCCTTGCAGGAGAGAAACCTTTCACTTGCAGCTGGGAAGGCTGTGATAAAAAGTTTGCCCGCTCCGATGAACTTTCTCGGCACCGCAGAACTCACACAGGGGAGAAGAAATTTGCTTGTCCTGTCTGCGACCGCCGTTTCATGCGCAGCGATCACCTGACAAAACATGCCCGCCGCCACATGACCACAAAGAAGGTACCCAGCTGGCAGACAGAAGTTGGCAAGCTGAACAGAATTGCGACAGTGGAGAAACCTAGAGGCGAGGGTGCTTTGAGCATGCTCCTGCCTATGTTGTCTTCAGGTTAACAGGCCTGTTTGCGGGAAAATAGACATTCAAGACTCACTTGGTTAGCTCAAAAGCAGCTTTGACTGATTTCCTAATGTCTATTAATGGTTGCTTTATTTTGTATTGGGGAGGGGGGGGAAAGTGTAATATTTTCTATTCTCTGCCTAGATCCCCCCCCCCCCAAGCTTATGCCCTATTTAATTGTTGAGGACATCCCCTCCCCTGGTTGTCCTTTTCTTTTGTACCAAGTTTTTACAGCATTCACCAGCACTTCAGGAAAGCAAACCTTTTTTGGGGGGAAATGTCAGCAATGGACTTTAAAAAAACAACAACCCTATCTTCATTTGAGTAACAGTGGTTAATGAAAAATCAAACAGGGTGATTTTTTTAAAAAACAACAACCACAATTTTGAAAATACAAGATTTTTTTGTTCGTTTGTTTAGCTGCAGCCTGGTGTTGTAATCATCCTTTGACAGGACTGATGGTCAGGCCCACTATGGGGAAACACTTTTTTTTGCTGAACTGATTGAATAATGATGATTTCACTCACCCTGTCTGAACTGCAAGTCTAGCACCTGAATCTGCCTTTGGATTGCCTGCCATGTGATAGTTTAAAGCAGAGCCATTGCTTCCCTTGTCTGTAGAGAAGGTGTGGTAGGGATTGTATGGATGATGAATGCATGAGGCTTGCTCAGGACCAATTTGAATACAACACAGACTGCATGTGCGGCTCTGCTATCAGGCCGTTGTCCACATGGTCACTCCACACAGCCAGCATCCCATTTTAAAACTTGTGGCATGCACATAAAAATGATACCCAAAAAACTGTTAGTTAAAGGTGTGTTGGCATATGTCCATTAGCATAGGTGGAAAGAAGCTTTTAAATGTGACGGCAGCTATATTGTGCTTGTATGTAAGGTATGTTTTGTGGTAAAGCTGCATGCGGCCACCATGTTTTCTAAACTGGCTTTTGAAGATTAAGGGCCAAGCTGGACGATGTTATCCCCTAGGGCATGGCTCCATTTTGCAGAGCCCTGGAATGGCTTTAAAGAGTGCTGCAGGGCCCCAATTCTGATAGGGATAACCGTAGTGCAGCAGAAGGAGGGGCTGCTGCCTTCCCACCAGCACTGTTTTTGACCCCAAGCAAGTGGTCCCAGTCAGAACTGAGCCCCTGCAGCACTCTTCAGAAGGCATTCTGGGACTCGACAAAATGAAGTTTGAAACCAGGGGTGGCATCATGTCTAGTGTGATCCTCTGCTTCCAAAGCTCTGGTTGCGTTTTGCAGGTCGAGTTGAATATGTATAATGTACCAGATTATTAAAATGGTAATTTGTTTTCTATTTTTAACAAAAGAATGACTTGTTGAAGCCCCTTCCTTTCCCCATATATGAATTATAACTTGGAAGTGCCTTCTAATTTTAGCTCAGTACAGATACCTTAAGAAGGTATTTGTCTGTCACAAATATCTAGAGGGCTGTCCTGCCCAACAACTTTATATCCCAACAGGATAATGGAGCATATGCATAAATTTCTCCTTTAGAGATACAAAACAGGGTGTAAAAGCGTTCCAAGTTTGACAGAACTGTGCCCTCAGAAGGAAAATGTAAAGATTGTTAAAGAAAAAAACCAACTATATAATGAGTGATCATTATATAGCTGAAACTTTCAATTTGATACACAAATTAACTGGAGTGCACAATTATGGAGAGTTTAAATAATTCTCACTTGACTATTCCACAGAAGTTGAGCAATAAAAAATGATGCATTTACAGTGTAATCCTAAACACATGCCCTTGGAGTAACTGCATAGGATTGCACTGTAGTCAGCTGGTGCTCTCTTTTTGTAATACTTCGCTTTAAAATGAGAGGGGTTTATAATGCTTGTAGGATTCTGCAAGACCTAGTAATAACCTATTCTAGAACAGAAATTTATCTCTCGAAAGGGGCCCCCAAACGTTCTTAGCTTTCAAAGAAAACCAGTTGATATCTTATGATATAAGGTGTGATTTTTCTACATTGTAAAATGAAATGCAAGATTACTAATTTGTAGGGCTGTTGTTTTTTATCTTTTTTGGGGGGGAGCATGAATTGGGGAACACATGGACCACTGAGCTATCCCCTCAAATGATTACTAAAAATTTACATTCTTATTTTTGATCAGGATGAAAAAATGTCTTAATGATGTGAAAGGTATGTGTGTGTGTATGGCTAAAACATCTGATACTTCATTAGCATTTGAAATTAAAAAGAACTCTCATTAGTTGTTATATCAGACCAATACCAATTGTTATATCAGACCATTATTAAGCCAAAGGTGCATTCATCTATTTACTTGGTGCCCACCTGGGACAATGAGAGCTGAATGACAATACGTTGGGATATAAATGGTAGGAGAATCATAACCTGGAGGCCCAGATTCTTAAAGCTTACATTAGCACAACTGTCATCAGTTCTAGAATAATGCTGGGCAAAGCTGGTGTTTAGGCTTGCTGGTGTTTTTTTACTGGCCTTGCTGCTGTGCTTCTGGCAGCAGTTTTTGTTCTGCAGAGGTTTGGGACAAGAATCTTCTCCAAGCACTTCCATCTTCATGCTTTATTTTCCTGCCAAGAAAAATAATTGGTGGCCCTACTGGTGTAATATCATGAGTTTGTGAATCTGCAATGATAAACTATGCCTGTCCTAAGCATGTATCCGCTGGTCCACTTAATCTTGAGTTTGAAGGGCCTCATTTTCACTAAACAGCCATTTCTTTATCTCTTTTTTTAGAAAAATGGTAATTATCATGGGTGTATCAATTAAGCGTTGTTGTAAGTTGTTAAAATCTTGTTTCTGTTTCATGTGTTGTAAATGGGATTCCTTTGAAAGGATATTCAGCCAGGCTGTGTACCTTGTGCCCAAGCCTAGTTCAGCCATGAGCCATGTGTGGTGGCCCATCAGGTCCTTTGCAAACCATCCTGCCTTGGCTGTCTGCAGCAGGCAGCAAAACCGGGCAGCCTCCTGAACTTATTCCAGAAATTATGCAAGTTTGAGCTACAGGCTATAAAAATGGCACCTCAGTATATGCATTGTTTCCTTTATTTCTATATTTATATATAATTCTTCAAATTTGATAGTTTAAGAACCAGCACAGCTATGAGATAACACTCATATAGAACAACTTGGTAGTCGTAATGATTTTCCATTTTATGCTCAGTTAATTGAAAATAATAAGAGTGTGATACTTGTTCAATGCTGAGTGGCATTAAAGAACTTTGAGAAGGTACATGTAAATGGCACAAATGTGGTGTGTATAACCAGATTGCAATGGCATGGTCAGACCGGACCCAGTGTCCCTGCGTCATTCCCCCCCCCCCCCACTGTGCAGTGTGCAGGCCACAATTCACTGTTGCAAAGAAGTTACCTGAAATCAACAGATTTCCTTTGTGTACTTGAGAGCCAGATGTCACTGTTTCCTGAAAGTGTTCTGATTATTAACTATCACTGATTTTTAAGACTATGGAAGACTATGTTCAGTGTAGTAAATATATTGTGCCTAATATTTTACATAAATTGTTTGTTCATTTTTGTTCACTTGTTTATTGTATATGTGCAGATAACATCATGCCTTCTAATAGTAAAATGGCCACCCCGCATTACGAGAAAGCAGCAAATTTGGGCCGCCTGCAGAGAAGGCAGGAGTTTCTGCATTCTCTTGTGAATTCTGGGTATTCAGAAAAATACAACTTGGTAAAATGACCGCGAAAAAGACACACACACCCCCATAGCCTGATGAGGAGTGAGCATGCCGTTGCCCTCATGGAATGGACATTATTTTATAGTGGCAGAGGGGAGGGGGTGACAGTATGGCTCTGGGAGGAAAGTTGATGTCTGGGCCAGCCAGTGGTGATGGAAGGTTGATCTTCTTTGCTGATCAGTTCTATTAGTCAAGTAGAGTTTTTAACTATATAGAGGCAAATGTCTGATGGAAATACAGATTGCAAGGCAGTGTTTAGGGCTAAAGGGGTCAACATTAGATCCCCCCCCCCCCAAAGTAAGGCAAAGTACAGGCAGCCTCCCTTTTGAAGTAAACTTTCAAATCTTTTGCTCCTAAGACCAAGATGATTTTCCCTTGTGGCACTCCTTCCCTTCAATCTTATCTGTTTCCCCTCTGCCCCAATTTGATTACACTTGTAGTATTTCTTAGAATGTCCATCTTCGCAGCAACAATGATCGTGTTCACATTCATTCCGGCACGGTGGCAAGAGACGTCAGCGACCATATTCTTGTTCGATGGCTGCCATCATCTCCACTTCAGAATAGTCGTAGGATGTCTTGGACTTCCTCTCAGCTTTCTGGAGTGGTAGGCTGCAGGAACAAAGCATAATCAACATACAAGAAATGATCTATTGAGTCAGATTGTTTTGGTTTGTGTAGCACAGTACTGTCTAATTTGGACTGGTAGCAGTTCTCCAGGGTCTCAAGCAGAGAAAGATCATCCCCGGTATCTGGTACCCAAGGTGATTTAATTGGAAAAGCCAGTGATAATACAGGGAATCTTCTGTATGCACAGCAGATGCTGTACCACTGAATTATGGCTGCTCTACCAGGCAGTCTTATTCTATTGCCTGAGATCCTTTTAATTTGAGCTATTGGAGACTGAACTTCTGTAAGCTTTACCTTTGAGCTATGGCAGGAACTCCCAACTCTTGTTGGAAACTGAGCAATATGTTGGCCATGGACACTGCAAAGAACTTCATGCATGCTGGAGCACATGAAACTGCCTTACAATTGTTTAGCCGGTTGGTCTATCAAGGTCAGCACTGTCTACCCTAACTGACAGTGGCTCTCCAGGGTCACAGGTAAGGGTCTTTCATGTCACTTACAACCAGTGTTCCCTCTAAGCTGAGTTAATGTGAGCTAGCTCACAGTTTTTTAGCCTCTGGCTCACACATTTTTTTCTTAGCTCAGGGAGGATGGCTCCAGAGCACACTGATTTTTTTTTTGGTAAACAAAATTTTATTTTTATAGGAAATTCACCATTTAAAATTTAAACATTTTCACGTTTTCCATTGTTTACCCTCTTCCCCTTTCCTCCCCTCCCTTCTAGAGCACACTGATTTACGCAGTAGCCAAGTCACTTGCACACAACGTTAAAGCCAGTAGCTCACAAAGTAGAATTTTTGCTCACAAGACTCCACAGCTTAGAGGGAGCATTGCTTACAACCCGATCCTTTTAACTGGAGATGTTACAGATTAAACGGGACCTTCTGCATGCAAAACATGCTCTGCCACTGAGCCACAGCCTAAGGAGGGAGATAAATTGTACTGGAAGTATAAAGGGATAAAATAGTAGGGTGAAATTCAATTTTGGAAGGAACATCTTCAATTAAATTTCAATAAAGTTGTTCCTAAAAGCACTAAGCAAAACAAACAGCCTGTACTGAAAATGCTTGAAATGGATTTCCAGCTTCTGCCCCATTCCATTCTGCAACCATTATGCAGGCTACAACATGCAGCGAAATGTAGTAAAAGGGGTAGAAGAAAAATTCAGCATAATTTCAACAAATATCTAACACTGAACATACCTAGCAGCAGAGAAATAGAGGCACCCTTAAGGTAACCTCAGTAAGTATACAGGAAAAAAAGTGGCAAGTTTCTTTTTTCAAAAAAGGGAATTGTGTGACATGGATGAAGGAGAAGAGGAGATTGGATTTATACCCTGCCCTTCACTACCCAAAGGAGTCTCAGAGTGGCTTACAAACTCCTTTTTCTTCTTCTCCCCACAACAGACACCCTTTTGTCAGCTAGGAGGTAAGGAATGCCAAGGCAGTTGAGCCTCGCTTGGCAAAAATGGAGGGAAAACTGACTAGTGTTATAGTATTCTTGAATGAGAAGTGAAATCAGGATTGGGAGATGTATTCCTAACTCCAGTTTCACTCCTCCGGCCCGATATTCTTCAATACTGCACGGGGAGGAAGAGATAAAATATCCCCTCTCATGTGGAATTGCTCAAGTTCTGAGCTAAAGGAACATTTTCCTGAGATGAGCACAGCAGAAAGTAGCTCTGTGAGGCAAAGCACCCTAATTTCCCTCAAGGGCTAATGTGATTATGAGCAGGTTCGTTCTGGCTCGTAGGTGTCCGTGGTTTGTTGGGCCTCCCTGCAGATACCATCCTTATATCTTTGAAGGCCAGATTCAAGAATGTCATAATGAGTTAATCGTGAGAACCTGTGTCATTAGAGCCATTAGAGACTCTCCTTTAGCCAGTCTGGGGTGGTATTAGTATTGATGAATGGATCTTTGGGAGGGGGGTTACTGGACCGTTGAGTCTACTGAAAGCCTCCTGGGAAGGCACACAGGCTGCTGACTGCCCTCCCAATCTTGACAGGCTGAAGCAGAGTATGGAACAAGCTAGAAAAGCAGTGGTGAATTTTTCAAGCAGGCACACGATCAGCAAAATCCTATTATGAAAAACATGCCAAGCTCAGATGATTTGCTGTTAAAGACAAGGTGCTGCTGATGCTAAAACCAGATAATGTGTCCAAAAATTAGCTGTTGCTTGGGAAGGTCCTTATGAGGTGTTGCAAAAAACAGACAATGACAATTATCTGGTTCATGAAGTTAATCTGCAGGAGAGAATACAAGTAATTCACATCGATAGTTTGAAGTTGTTTGGAGAAAGAGTTGGACAGATGTCTCTCATAAAAGCAGTGGAGGAGGAAGAAATGCTTTTGCCTAATTTGATTAATGGGTTGATGGAAGCTGAAGGCATAGAACAAGTGCAGATGGCTTCTACTTTAACTTCTCAGCAGCAGAGTGAATTGAAACAAGTATTGCAGTGTTTTCAGCCGCTCTTCTCTAAAATGCCTGGCAAGACAGATTTGATTACTCATCATATTGAAACTGGCATGCAATGTTCCCTTTAAGCTGTGGAGTCTTGTGAGCAAAAATTCTACTTTGTGAGCTGCTGGCATTAAAGTTGTGAGCGAGCAATTTGGCTCCTGCATCAATTAGTTTGCTCTGGAGCCATCCTTCCTGAGCTAAGACAAAAATGTGTGAGCCGGAGGCTAAAAAACTGTGAGTTAGCTCACACTAACTCAGCTTAGAGGAAACAGTGCTGGTATGTATCCTCCAATAAAATCTAGTCCTTATCCATTGAATGGACTTGTGAAAGACATTGTTGCTTCTGAAATTCAGCAAATGTTGACGTAGGGATGATTAAAGAGTTCCATCCAGATTGGGGGTCACCTATTGTGACTGCACCCAGGAAGAGACTATCTGAAACTGCACCTGTTGAATATTGCTTCTGTGTGGACTTTAGAAAGCTGAACAAGCTAGCTGTTGTAGATCCCTAACCTGCTCCATGAATTGGGGGGGGGGGGTTAACTAAAGCTTTGGCCAGTGTAAACTCCATCAGCACTCTTGATTTAGCATCTGGCTACTGGCAAGTGCCTTTGAGCTCAGAAGCATCTGATAAAACAATTTGTGTCACCTTTGGGGCATTATCAGTTTTTGAAGATGCTATTTGGATTGAATGGGGCATCTAAGAACTTTCAAAGATTAATGGATCGGATACTTAATGGACTGTCTTTTGTGGCGGCCTATCAGGATGATATTGCAATCCACACCTTGAGCATGTGCGCGAAGTGCTTCAGATCATTCATAATGCAGGATTGACCAGCAAGGCCTCAAAGTGCCAATTTGGATGTAACCATGTTGTTTATCTGGGCCACTTGATGGGGTCGAATACCATCAGGCCTCATGAAGCTAAGATTGCCAGCATGATGGATTGGCACAAGCCTGTTACCAAAAAGGATGTGCAAGCTTTTCTAGGTCTATTTTCTATTGTTGTTTCAATCGTCATTTTAGTCAGCCGGCATCCCCGCTGATGGATTTGTGCAAAAAGAAGGCACCTACCAGTGTCATCTGGACCCATGAATGTCAATATGCCTTTGAATCTTTAAAAGAGAAACTGTCTCAAGCATCCATTTTGGTTCCATCAGATTGGTTCCTTCGTTGTCCAAACCGATGCTTCTTCAAGGGGCCTGGGCACTGTGTGACTACAGATGGGGCGGGGGGGGGATGGTGAATATCACCCCATTGTTTATTTGAGCAGGAAGTTGCTACCATGAGAGCAGGCTTATGCAATCCTAGGAAAAAAGTTCTAAGCTGAAACCTTATCTGTGTGATGTTAAGTTTTTCTTGGAAATGGAACATAACCTTTTGCCTTTCATCGACAGAACGAAGGGAAACAGGCTCATTGCTCCTGGGGGCCCCCAGGGGGTGAAGCTCCCTCACAAATGTGCCCTGCCCCCTCTTCTCCCGGTCCCCACACCCCTGGGAGGTGAAGGAAGCCCTGGGTCTGGTTCCAGGTGCACTGCTCTCAGTTGCTGCCAACCCTTCCCTTCCAGCGCTGCCTTTTGCCGGTCCTTCCGGCTCTCAGTCCAGCACTGCTTCCCTTTGTCCGTGTATATTTGCCCTGCTTGTTATCCATCGCCACCGGGATGCTGCTGGCTCGTGCTTTCTGCCCGCCCATGGCTGCTCTGTCCCTTCCCCCACTTGTTGTGGCTGCTGTGGAGTGACGGGCAGGGCCGGAGCGGCCTCCTGCATGGTTCCCGGGCCTCACCACAGCCCTGGCAGCTGGGCAGTGAACCCGGAAGCACCATGTCTGCCCCGAGAGCAGAATCCGCTCAGCGGATCCTATAACTGCTTCTCTGGCTTCCCAATGCAGTGGTGGTGGCAGCCATGTGCCACAGAGGAGCTGGGCAGGCTGCAGAAGTGCCAGTGTGAAAGCTGGATGGTTGGCCAACCCTTCCCATGAACTCTCCTGGGAGCCAGTGGTGGCTCCACAAACAGGCCGCAAACCAGCACACCTGAGGAAGCCCAGGGTGGGGGGGGGGAGAAAAAGCCAGCCGGGTTGAGCTCAGGTGGGGGAGAGAAGCCCCCCCCCCCACATGCCTATGTCACTTCTGGAAGTGATGTATTCACGTCGGGGCAGTGCCCCCCCCCAAAAAAAAAATTATCTTGCTACAGGACTAAAGGGAAATAATGCTTGAATCTTAAGGTGGGCCTTAAGCCTGCAAGATTTTAGCGCTGAGATTGTTCACATTAAAGGTAAACAAAACATGGTGGCTGAAAGCCTGTCCCATACAGGGAGTAAGTAAATTTCAAAGGAAGGTTCTTCCAGTAGTTCTTGCTTCTGCATGTATGCTCTGCTTTGTTTGTTGTAATTTTGCTGCTAAAATACCATTAATTTACCTCTCTTCATAGGAACGTAAATGTAGTTGCTTTGCCTAGTTATAGTGAGCCTCAACCATATTAACACCATAGATTTCAGCTTCCAGAAAGGGAGGGGGGCACGTGGGGTGAAGTACCCTAACTTCCCTCAAGGGTTAATGCGATTATTAGCAGGCCTGCTTCGTCTCACAGGTGTCCATGATTTGGGCTTTCCTGCAGATACCATCCTTATCTCTTTCAAGGCTGGATTCAAGATTGTGGTAATTGGTTAATTGTGAGAACCTGTGCTCAGTTGTATAACCAGATTAGGAGTGGACATTAACATCTTCTGGAAAGTTCCATCAAAGGAAATTCCTGATTGGATCCAAGAAACCACCTGGTGCCAGAGGGCAAAATACTATAATAAAGCTAAAAACCAGAGAGAAGTCATGCTAACTTTAGGTTTGTGCTATTCTAGTATGCTCTGATATGTTATGCTACATCATGATGGACTGCAATGTATAGAACGCTTTAAGCTACAGCCTGGATTCTTATGCTGCAAGAAGGTGTGCCATCTAATACCAGGTACTAAATGTATTAGATGGAGAAGTGAGCCTTTTTATTTCTCTGTTGCTAAGCTATAGAGACTGTGCTACATTGTGACAGCGTTTTTAAAACTTTTGAATAAACCTTCATACATTTTTACAAAGGTCGGCTTTATTTGTGTGCATTTAACCTCGAGGACCCACAGGGCTGGGTGCTGTTCAAGCTAGAAGGAGTGTTGACCCAGGGGGTACCCAGGCTTGGGTCTCTGATAAGCTCCTTAAGGGGGTTTTGGGGATAGAGCTGGAAAGAGAAATATGGGAAAGCCCCATCCCATGTGTAGAATTCTATGGCCGATCCAATATAAACCATCAGCCAAGTTTTTTATGGGTATCCATTTTTAAAGCAGATTTTCATATCTCCAAGCTGTTTTCAAACATGAATGTGCTTCCTTTGGGGAACCTATTCACCACCTTAAAAAAAAAAAAAATCTGACTTAAGTCAGTCTCCTCCAGTTTGTCTCACAGTGAATTGATTTCTCCAACAGTAATAAAAACAACATTCCACCCAAATGTATTGGCCACCAAAGCCCTGCTCTCTCCAATAATCTTTCCTACATGGGCACTTGTAATAGTGTGAAAAATTAATACCAGATCAAGTTAAACAACAGGTCAAAGCACCTAAACAAAAATGGTGCATTTTTCTGCAAAGTATATAAGCTGTGGCCCACCCACTGTTGAAGTTATGCCATGTGAATTAAAGTAACTTACTTGTTGGCGAAGTTAGTGTTCTCTGAAGCCAGGGTGCCTCTTGTTAATAAAATCTGAAAGTGAAAGAACATGATGGAATTAGGTAGCTTGTTAAAATGACACTGAGATTTACCTCTGCTAGAATAATGCAGACCTGCACTGACCTAACTTTAGTGAATGCAATAAGAATTTTCAACCATGGGGCCAGGATTGAGGCGGGGCCACATTTTATTTATTTATTTATTTCATTTATACCCCACCATTCTCCTCAATAGGGACCCAAGGTGACTTACACAATTCTCTTCCATTTTATCCTCACAACAACCCTCTGAGGTAGGTTAGGCTGCCAGTGAGTGACAGGCTTAAGGTCACCCAGCAAACTTCCATGTAGGGATGCCAAGTCCATCTTCCCCCCCCAGCGGGGGACTTTGGGGGTGTTCCTGGAGGGGGTGGGGCATCCCCGACGTGATGACTTCATGTTGGGGACGTCAGCCGCCCCCCACCCACCCATGCGCCAGATCTCCAGAAACGGCAGTTCCTTGCACTTAAAGGAGCCGGCGTTTCCCTTTTAAATGCAGGAGCCAGCGTTTCCCCTTTAAGAGCAGCCGCGTTTCCCTTTTAAGAGCTGGCATTTCCCTGCAAGCTTGCGGAGATCGGGCTTGGGAGGAAACACGGGTTCCACACACTTAAAGGGAGAGAGATGGGTAGCTGTGGGTGTTGGGAGCGGGTAGAACCCCCCCAAAAATGGGGGACCCCTGGCAAACCGGGGGGGTTGGCAACCCTACTTCCATGGCAGAGTGGGGCTTTGAACCTGATTCTTTAGCTCCAAGTCTGACACTAACCACTACACCATGCTATTTCTCACCATTGCTCCAGGATCCAAAGAAGTCAATGCTATGTCTATCATTCCTCATTCACTAAGAGGGATGTCTGTTGAAATAACTTTAAACATTTTTTAAAATGCACCATTGATCTAATACATTTATTTAACAATCTCAAAGAAAGAAAAGGGAGTGCAATAATGACTGTATATCAGGACCAAATTAAAAGATACAAAGAAAAAGTCAAGCTTTCAAGTTCAGCAAGCCTGGTGTTACATGGAAGAAAAGTGAGAAAGTGTGTTCTGGGTGAGAGAACAGCAGCTCAATGTCACCCAGGTGAGGCAGAATCAAAAGGGAGACACTGCTGCTCCCAATCTGCAGACTTGCACATGGGAATCTATTTCATTTCTCTTGTTTTTATTATTGATTCCCAAAGGGACTGTTTCATTGTTGAGTTGTTTTGTATGGTTTTGTTTCATTATTTTTTCTTTTGTTGTTATTGTTTCATTTTTGTAATTCTGTTTCATTATTATTTCCCACTGGTTTCAATAGAAGAGTGCTGAACTCAAGTTAATGCACAAGTTCGGAACAATGGACATAGGGGCACAGGATTTTCATCTCACTACAGATGCTAATTTTCTGGCGCCAAGTGTTTCCCCTCTGCTCTAATCCAGCGGATTACGATGTACGTTGTACAATATACATTGCATCCATCCTTTATAAGCATTCTTTACAACAATTATTGTGTTTTATTTCATGTTGCTGTCTTCAGTTGCCATTCTAAGTTTGATTAAATTATTTGACATTCCATTTTTCAAACAATTTAATCAAACTTAGAATGGCAACTGAAGACAGCAACATAAAACACAACAATAATTTTATAGCTAAAATTTCGTGCTTGGGGCAATGAGAGGAAGACTGTCCAGCTCAGCTCTTTCCTTGCTGTGCTAGTTTTCTCTGTGCAGAGAGTTTTAATGCAGAGAAGAAATATTCAAAAATGCAATCTTACAATTACACTTCAAAGCGCCCCAATACCACCTACCCCCTCATTTCAGTGTGTGTTGACCACAGAAGCTCGGTACCGAGCTAGAATGTAGTCGCCAGGTTGCACTCAGGGCTGGCCTGCACCATGGGCCTAGTCAGAGTGGATGCCTTCCTGAGGCTAGAGAGCAGGCAGCTCTCCATCTAATTGATGCATTCAATCAGGGAGCTGGGAAAACTTGCAGTCAAGAGGTTTATTCATTGCACAAGGTCCAGCTCAGGGTAGTTACAAGGCTCGCGCCCCTGCCGGGTCTCCCCCCGCTTCGGAAGAAACAGTGCCCGCCCGCCCCGCACGCGGCGCTTCCCTTCCCGGGGACAGACAGAAGGACCCGGTGGAGGGAGAGGCCTGGCCCCTTCCCTTGTGCCGCCGCCGGCACTTCTAGCGAGCAACCCCTTTGGGACCTGACGGGCTGGCGGTGCCCGCACTCCAGCGGGATCCCAGGCGGAGTGGCGGGCAGCAGCAGCCCTCGAAAGCCTGGCACAGCGGTCCGGCCGCTGGCTCCCCCGCCGCGCACCTTGCACGCCTGGCAGCCAAAGCAGGCGATCCCTGGAGCTGGCGGCGCTGCGGCGTCTCCTCCGCGGAGCCGACTGGGCTGCTCCAGCTTCCCTGCCCAGGGCTGCGGCTCCGAGAGGCGCGGCGGCACTCAGCCCACACGTGGTGCTCCCGCGGGATGAGGGCATGGAGTGGGGGGGAGCCACGCAGGCCGAGAGGCGACCCCGGGCCACGTGCTGGACCGCCGCTGCCGCCCGGGCCCGCTCCCCCTGCCGCAACCTGGGAACTTTGGGGGCGAGTCCCGTTTGGCGGCGTAGCGGCGGCGGTGCCGGGCCGGATAAATGTTTTCGGCGGGCCGCATGTGGCCCGCGGGCCGTAGTTTGAGGACCCCTGGTCTTGTCTGACTAGCACTCTCACAGGTCTTTCACATCCCCTACCACTTGGCCCTTTTAGCTGGAGAGGCCAGGGATTGGATCTGAGACTTTCTGCATGCCAAGCAGACGCTCTGCCACAGAGGCACTGCTCCTCCCCAGGCCACTACATTGCATCTGCACCCATTCTGTGTGTGCTATTTCCCCAATAATATTTGCCCTCTCCTTTGTGCTAAAACATGGTTTTAACAGCAGTTAAGAGGTCCCAGGGTACTTCTGCACCGGCCCACTCACATTCATTTTACAACATAAACTGAACCCCAGGAGGCTGTTGCATATCTTTCATTCACTTCACTTGTACAGGAGCTGTTCCTGCCTTTGAGCTCAGCTTTTAAGAATATATTCATATGAAATCAGAAGCCATCCTTCTGGATTTGTTACCTACATTATACAGTCCACAGTCCAAAACTGAAAGAAAAAGCAGCCACACGATGGCACTGTTGCACAAAGGCATATTAACAAGCACTGAACATTAAAATCAAACACCCCTTCCCAACAAAGTATTGCTTTTCTGCAGGAATTTAGGCATACATTAAACATTATATTAAACATTGCCGCACCTTGTAAATAAGGTTGCAAAAAGTTTCTAGCCCACAAACGTTTTCACTAGCTTGCCTGCCCACATTATGGGACTGTCCACATAAGGGTTGTTCTTTATTGCAGAACAATTGTGTTTCTCCACTTTGCTGAAAGTACACTAGAAATTGGTGTTCATTGAGCTGCTTAACCTAGTGCTATATCCCCATGAGAAATGCTTAGTCGATGTCTACTCAGAAGTTATCACGTCCAAAGCCCTGTATGGCCTCGGACACTCATATCTGCAGGATTGCCTCTCCTGCTATTTTCCACTGTGATACCTTTGCTTCTGAACATGCCGCCCTGCAATGGGGTAAGATTGACAGCTGCGCATGTGTGTGTGTTCTTTGTTGTGGCCCCCATTTTGCGGAACAGCCTGCCTGAGGTCAGGAAAGATCCCACAATTCCATAATTCTGCGAACTGTGTAAAACAGAATTGTCCAGGAAGACTTTTTAAATAAGGAAATAGGGCTACAGTAAGTATAACATAAAGGTTCAGAGAAGTGCTTTTATAAAGGAGACTGGAACTGTAATCTATGCCAGTTCACGGCATGTATTATCCACTTATTGTATACCTCTGTTCTGCTCTTCCTACTTCTGTAATTCCATGTTCTGAATTGCTTGACAGATCATGTCTGATCCTTTTTTGAATTGTTTCTAATTTTGTAATCCTAGTCCAGTTGTATTATTAGGTGCTTCATATTATTTGACTGCATTGTTTTGCAGTATGTAATCTGCCTTATGTCTCCTAAGAAAGGCAGACTATAAACAAAGTAAGTAAATAAATAAGACCCTTTCCTCAAAAGTGCCACTTTTCTCTGGAGTTTTCCTTTTGTTTTGTTGTTTATACACTACTAAGTAATTAGCTCCTGTAGACTCAGAGTTCTCAGGGTCTCTCCTGGCACTCATGCAAAAATGTTTAAATATGTTTTTGTTCCATCAGGATTGGGGAGGGTGTGTGTGTTAAGAACTTTGTACTCTGCGGCCATCCAAAATGTTACTGTTTCTTATTGTAAGAGCATAGTTTTAAGAAAATTAAGAGCAGTAGATTTCACAAACTACAAAATGCAAAACAGGTACATATCCCTCCCTCAGATTATAATTTACAATTGATTGGTGAATGTTGAGAAACCCAGACACCTGGGGGAAAACAGGAACTAATTAGTTATGCTGGGAAAAGGAAAGTTTGAGAATTTAAAGGGGCAGGGAGCTTTAACAGCCCTTTGTCTGTTCACATGAGGTATTGCTTTGTAGTGCTGCAACTGCATTTGAGTGGGTTTTTTTTTAATTAGCAGGAAAGGAGTTTGGGGGAAAAAGATGGGAAGACAATGGGGAAAATACTGAACTGTACCTAGGGTCTGCCAACAGGCCCAAGGAAAAAAATGTCTATAATGACACAAAACCCATCATTTTCTCCAGGGGAACTGACCTCTGTCATCTGAAGAGCAGTTGTAATTCTGAGTGATCTCCAGCCTTCACCTGGAGATTTGCAACAATGGTTCCCCAGGAGGAAATGGATGGTTTAGAGGGTGGAGTCTATGGCAGTGTACCTGCCTGAGGCCCCACACCTCCTCAAACCCCACCCTCTCCAGGCTCCACCCCTCAAATCTCCAGGATTTTCCCAAACTGGCGCTGGTGACCCTATCTCCTTCCCAGCCTACTTTTATCTGTCCCTTTGACTTCAGCTTTCTTTCTCTTCCCCCCTCCCTGCA